CAGACAGTCAGTGGGGCGACCATTAGTGACTTACAAACCTTTTCTTCACACAAATCTTAGTTTGGTGGGGGGAGGAATTTTTCTAGCTCAATTCGACTGTGAATGAAAAATTAAACTTAAGTCTTGTTCAGTAAGCAATTGGTTCCGAAAGGATTTACGTGCACGTTACATATTTAGTGAGGCAATCAAGCACGATTAGAACTTTGCGGTATTTTAGCACATCAGACACTTAATCAGCAATCGAAGTCTCAAAATCGAAGGACCTCGTTCATGATTATTTTAATGTGAAAGGTCAATTTTAAACTATACTTGTTATTTGCTTCTTTAACCTTCAAAACCAAGGTTTTAGAATAAGGATACAAAAGAAAATTATAAATGTAAATCATTGAGGATTTCAGTTTTCTAAAGAAACTGTTAGACTCGTCGTTGAGCTTAAAATTGTTTACGCTAAGTGAACTGCGGAAAGAGTTTGTGAAGCGTTCGAGGGTTAGTTCTTCAGAGCAAGTAACCTTGAAATAATTCTCTGAAAATAATTTAAATTCTTTTCCGCTCTGGCTTTAAGTTAATGTTTCGAAGGCCAAGAAGGGTTTTCCAATCTGACACAAAAAGCACTTGACGACAGGACACGTTTTATAACTTTCCATCATATCTGTATAGGACAGATCAGGCGAGCTGAAGTGAAGGACTCAAGCAACAAGTATGTGTACGATGTGAAGTGCGTAAAAATTCACGAAGATTGCATGGTTAGTGGCTATGGTTTCGACGTTGCGTTGGTGAAACTGGCCATCAGACCTGCTATATTTGAGCCTTGGAAAGTCTGGCCTGCGTGCATTCCATGTCAAGGAGATCGCGTTGACATGGGGAAAGAATGTTTTATCACTGGTAGGTTTCATTTTGGACTAGTATATGTAGTTTTAGTCTTAAGTTTACAATAAGAAGAATCTGATTTGTGTGGGGGCGTGTATCTCAAAGTTTACTGTACTAAAGATTCTGATTGCTTTCTGGGCGTGTATCTCCAAGTCTGTCTGTAATCATACTCGTAATTATATATTCAAATCAAAATCGAATTAAAACTTACACTAGCCGCGTATAGCGTAGGCTTATCCAGGCGGCCATTGCTTCGCTGTCTTCCGATCTCTCCTTGGTATCTGCAAGAATTGATAAGACTCTACCGTCTTTCTAGAACTCTCCGTTCATCTACATCTCTCCGTCTTAACTGTACCAGCTATAACTTGAAGTCTTATGGACCTAGAGCTTTTGCTGTCGCCTCGCCACAACTCTGGAACGACTTACAAATATATATTAGAAAACCAGACAATCTTCATATTTTCAAAACTCGGCTTAAACCTCGTTTATTTAAGAAGTCTTTTGGGAAAAATTTATTGATTCTTGTTTTATTTTATTTTTTAAATGTTATCTAATTTAATCATATTTTGTAACTTGTAAAGCGCCTGGATCACGCTTGGATACGCGCTATAAAAATGCTATTTATCATTTATTTATCTTATTATCTCGTCAATCACTGGCACGATAACAGATAAAAGTGGATTTAGTTATTAGTTAGGTATTAGCTATAGGGTATATTAGGTAGTTTCCCAGAGCTTAATTGTTTTCCCTATGACGTCCAAGTTCAGCCTATGTTCGACTTCTCCATTTTCTCAGGTATTAAAATAATGTGAATTCATACAAATAATAATCCAAAATTGTTATGGAATATGAAAAGGTACTGACTTTGTAATAATCCTCATGAATTATAAACGAGCAATGATGCCAAAGAAAATGTAGAAATGCGGACGAATGACTCCAGGTATGCCTAACTCCGAACATAATTTGTTAACATATCAGTTGCCTCTTCCCTAGAAACACTCCTGAACATCTCCTATAGGTTTGTACATTACGTTATTACCTGGACACGTAATGACCTTTTTGATTTAAACCTTAGCCTCACATGAGTGGGTCCCTATAGCTTATGCATAACAAGTCGTTTTGTGTTGACCTAAAATTAAGCAAAATTTATCATGTGCACCTGACTTTATATGAATGCATCGAGTGCCTCACCCTTTTTCTTTCACTTAAAGACTGAGGTGAAACTTCGTTCAACTCTTCATTTTCCGAGTTCCTTTAAGAGGCCAAGATGCCAGTTGTCAACTGAAGTGAACAGAAGTGGAAAAACATTTTCTGTTTTTGCTCGCATCAGCACATTTGTTGACTGGATTGAGGCCGCTATGGAGAGAGCAAATTGTGACGCTGGTAAGGTACTTGAATTGTAAACTTAAGGAATCCTCCTGTCCAGAAAATGCCACCATAATAAAAGCAAAATCCGTTCGTATATCACTGTCATTTGGAAAGGAACGGGAACACGGATAATGCTGGACTGCCCAAATTCAATTTTTTTCACTTCCTCTATCTTAATAATTATTCCGAGTCAGTCACATCAGAGTCCATAGGATGGAATTGTTATGAAGCCCTGTCAACTTCAAAGGTGGAAGCAAAGATGACAAGACCTATGTTGGAAGGGCCAAGACCGTGCACAATATTTTGTTTTGCGTCTAAATATAATGCATGAATAACGTAACTNACCTGTAAAATAACATCGACTTATTTAGTTGTCTGTCAGCATTTATTCGACAGACAGTCAGTGGGGCGACCATTAGTGACTTACAAACCTTTTCTTCACACAAATCTTAGTTTGGTGGGGAGAGGAATTTTTCTAGCTCAATTCGACTGTGAATGAAAAATTAAACTTAAGTCTTGTCCATAGGATGGAATTGTTATGAAGCCCTGTCAACTTCAAAGGTGGAAGCAAAGATGACAAGATCTGTTGGAAGGGCCAAGACCGTGCACAATATTTTGTTTTGCGTCTAAATATAATGCATGAATAACGTAACTAAAACATTTCTTTTGGTTTGGTTGGCTCATAAGTCAGAAGTACACAACTATCGTTTGTATTTTGTGCACAGTCAAGAACAAAATATCGAACATGAACTTACACAAATAATTTGGTCGGCATTTGCAACGGTTTTAGTCTATTACCTATGGATACCTATGGACATGCATAGTTATACGCAACAATCTCAAGTGAATTTTTTTTTTTGATATATATATGACAACCTCTACTCGTAGATTACTTAAAGAGCGCACACATCCGCTTACAGTCAATGCTGATTGCATTTTGATGAACTACACCCCTCCCCCCCTCCTATTGCAAAAAAAGATTATCTCCGATTTTTATGTTTGTTTATCGTAATTTTTGATTGTGTTTATTACCACGTCATTCAATAAAAGATCATGAATGCTAGTCAAAGTTTTATCCATGAGAATGATGGTCCCCTATTTTTCTCAATTACTTGTTTAATATATAATGGACATATTTGAAGTATATGAAGCAAAGGTTTATATTTTCAGTTGAGCCCATAGACGGGGTGTGCGAGGGTAACTTGCCTCACTGTGGACAATGGTTATCGGATGGCTACTGCGCAAATGGGTGGTACAAAAACTACCTAACGTTACACTGCCCTAAGAGTTGCAAACGCTGTACCCAGTCCTGAAAAGTCAACAAAGGTTTGTAATGCAGAGACCTCAACTAATTTTCTTTTTCTTTTTCTTTTCTTTTGACATCCCACCTGGAGAAGCATCTACAAAGCGTGACGCGGAGGATTTGAACTCGNAAATTTTTTTTTTTTTTTTTTTTTTTTTTTTTTTTTTTTTTTTTTTTTTTTTCAATTATGTGAATTCTTTTCTCTCTTATTGCTAACATAATCGGCTTACCTTTATCAATACGTTCTAATTCTTTAATTGAAAATCGTAATCAAAGATCGGTATGTGTGCTAAGATAAACGTTTTCTAAATTTGCACCACTTGTTGGAGAGGTTTGCCCTTTTATGTAGTTCCCAACTCGAAAAAGCACATTATGTAAACTCACGATTTTAAATTTGAAGTATTGTAAAGCGCCAAGGACAATTAGTGGAAAATGGCGCTATATAAATGTATATTTATTTATTTTATTTCATTTATTTATGTACATACATTACATGCACAGTAAGATACAATCTTACTGTGACTGCATGTAGCTATAGTTACATACTTTACGGTTACATACATACTTTACGGTTACATACATACTTTACGGTTGTAAAGCATTTATCTTTACTGACCCTAATAAAGCACAAAATAAGACAATAATAAGATGAATTGGCATTCAATGAACGAGTTCAGAAATACCTATCTGGCTGGCTTATTTAATAGACCGTTCTCGCATTCCAACCAATAATGGCGCCGAGTCGAGTTCAGGGTGGACAAAAATAGAGCAAATGCATGAAAATGCCCTCCCCAACCTCGCCGCTCCGTATCTATTATTTGCACGCACTGAAGAGGAATGCGGGGTAGATCTATTCAGATGGCCACTGACCCGGCCCAACAAACTAATTCTCAAAGTTCATGACTTCGCTTCCGGTACCAACGAAGCATTGTCATTTCGACTAAAAAGCTAGCTCGTGAGCAAGCTGTTTAAGTAGCTCTTAGTGTAGAGATTGCGTACAAGCTTCTTAAGAACATGAAGAAAGCAATCCTCAGTTTGTAAGTCAACATATGAAGGACCATATATATTTGAACTGCTGAGAGAGATATAAAGGCATGAATGATCATCGCAGTTATGTAACTGCCGCGGTGATCATCCATGTCTCTACACAATCGTCAGACTTTTTCGAGACAAACTCCTTGTACGTCATAAGTTAATTGAGTCTCAAAAATACCAATTGGAACATGAGTTCTGTCGCATGAGACAGGAGACAGTAAACAGTTATTGATGTCATAGTTTTCTTGTTTACTATTGGATTTTTAATTTTATTAGCACATTTTATTGTTTGTTTTGATTAATTAATTAATTATTTGACTGATTTTACATGCGTGTCAACTGACATTTTATGACCTTTGTATCTCGCGTTGCTTTAGTCACGCGATCGAACTGAAGTGAAGCTATGTCATTTCGGTTTCCTTTGTTGAATGTGGTGAGCAAACTTAAATACACCATTATGGAAAAACAGAACATCTCCCTTGGAAAACTTGTGAACGTTGTAGTGAATTGGAGGCGAGGGGAATTTTAATTGGGATCATTGGGTCCATAAATCTATTTACGTATAACGTGCCTGAGACGAGGGACATGACAGAAAATGGAGAGCGATACTACAGGTAATTCATTAATTCACTTGTTTGTCAAAAGAATTAATCACTTTGAAAGACGTTACAACATAGCTAATAGCGTTTACAATCGACTGCGTGTGGTTTTGCAGGATTCACAGGTTCCACGGTCCCACAGTTCTACATGTGTGGTCCATGGTTCCTCGAATTCTCCGGTTAAGACATCCCATTCATCAAATCTTAACTTGTGCTCGATTCATTACGTCATGTTTTGTTTGTCACGCCTATGGAATGTTGACTTTCGAGGCATAGAGGCATCATTTTGTTGATGCTAAGCACCTCATACCGCAATTTCGGCGTAAAAGGGCAGCAACAGTTGTTTGATTGTGCTGCCGTTTAGCAGCATTCACCGCATCTCTCGGTATACAGACAAACGGTTACATTATGCACGTAGCAGTTATTCTAATCTGCTTGGCTTTGTCGTGCCGTGCCTCTGAAGGTTTGTGTATTTGTCTTTACATTTGGTCAGTTTCGATTGCCTTTAGTTAGCTAATGGACCACTGCGATATTTCAAACTTCACCGGCAAATGATAGCTTGACTATTTCGTAGTTTGCCTTCCCCCTTCTTTTTCCTTGTCATTCGTGTTCTGCATTTCCTTAGTGAAACTAGATCGAAGTTCAGTTGCGCATGGTTGATTTGCAGTCATCTTACACCAGGCTATTGTTATTTTTGCTAAGGTTTACGACTGCATTTCATTTATTCCGGGCAAGTCGTAATTAAATTACAATTAGCGTTAACATTGCTAACGTAAATTTAAAACAGCGTCCACGTAAACGTTCGGGTTAACGTTGACCAACGTACGTAAGCACATTCACCGCAGGCCTTCGAGTTGACCGCGCTGTAACCAGCTCACATAACTTATCAACACGATATGTCACTTCCTACTAGGCATAACCTCGCTGCCACTGTATTTTGTATTAGAACTGTACTTCACTTTCGAGGCCATAGATCTCTAGTCAAGTTGCTTTGAACTCTTTGCCTTTGCGAACATTTCTTTTATCTGAGTGAAATTATTATCTAATATTACGTGACTATAGATGACCCTGACTTTGTTGTCTATCTTATCAGTTTCCAATATATTTTTATTTTCTTTTGAATGTTTAGACCTTTTCCTAGCCTCTAAGCAGGCTAATCGCACAGGCTTCCTCTCCTACTTTCTTTTCCCGAAAAAAGCCTGCTCGCAGGCCAACCTTTCCGCGCTAAAATTCGCTTTGCTGAAAATTGGGAAAACGTTGTACAGAATTACCGAGTATTTTGTATGAGAAGAATAAGTGTTCAAGTGAAAACATTCGGCAGCAGACTATCCTAATCTAGCTCCAGGAAGTAGGTGCTGCACAAAGGTGCCGAGATCTCGGTGAACAACTAATTTTCAACGTCACTCGGCCATGAATGAAAATTTCTACCAAAGTATCACCTAACACTAAATTTCGCAGATCTCAAATCTAAGCTACACTCTTTCAGAAATGTGCTAGCTAGTGCTGTTTTTATTGCTTTTTGGCTAGTTTTGACAATTAAAGAAAGGAAGCTAATTTTATGGGATTCAAACTTTAAGCACACAAAATTACATTCTTTTCAAATCTTTGCCTCGGGCTTATCCTTAAGATATTCTTAAAAATTCGCAAATATCAGCCTCCATATTCTTATAGAGCATATTCGTATAAAAAAAAAAAAGAAAGAGTGTATGCGTTAAGGACGTTCGCGCTAATTGTTTCTGCGCATCCTTATTGCGTATGCAACTTCACACGCCACGTCCTGCATGAGAGCGCGCGCTAAGTAATTAACAGTGATACGGCAGATGGCGATTGCTATAGCTTTGCCTGGATTTAACGATCTTGGACGTTCAGTGACCTCTACTTTTCTTTCTAGAAACAGATCTTATTTACAATTATCTCCAGGTTGTCCAAAAATGAACAAAAAATCAATATGGGAAGTTCAAGAATTCAAGATTTCAGTCCACGGGACATGGAATCCTGCCATTTTGCGGCTGCACTATGGTCGCTAAATGCGAACTTGTTCTTTAAGGATTACCTCACCAGTTGACTAAATTCACTCAATAGGTCCACTTAAGCAATATTTGGAAAAGAACATTTCACTTCAAAGATCTAATTGCAATATTTTTGGGCTTACAGACACTGTGGCCTTATTCGCTAACAAAGCCCGATTTTTTCAGATTTAGCATGGGTGTTCTTTCGGATGATCCCCGTCCCAGTTTATTTTTTTTTATTATTATTATTATTATTATTATTATCATTATTATTATTATTATTTGACATTTCTGTCATAACTAACTCATCATCTTACAGTGGTAAAAGTCTCAGAAAAAAAAATCAATATTGGAAATTTTCACGCGAACGTCCTTAAATAACGCATTGTTTCTTAGCTGTCAGCCACATTTTTGACCATTCTCAGACTTTCGTAAAATGCTATGCAGACCTTCTGAGAGGAATTGATGACTCCTAAGTTATGAAGCCCATTTTCATGCTAGCGATATTCATAGTAGTCAGAATATCTGAACGGATTTAATCGACAACCAACTCCTGCGCGTCCCACCCCTCCTATCCACTTCCACAACTTCTTATTTGCATCTCCAGGGTGCAGAGTAGCTATCGGCTCTTTATATGTGCACGTTCCATCGTGCACAACGCCTTTTGAAGCGCTTGACAACACTAAAGATAATTTTCTTTTCTTCCCTTACACCAACACATACGTACCTAGAGCCAAAATAACTGTGGCGTTGCGGATCGAGTTTACGTTTGTTTTCTCAAAGCTACGTTTGACAAAATAGTAAAATGAAAGAATGGCTGGATTGCGTTGCTGGGATAAATTGTGCTGAGGAATATCTGTTTTACAGAATGTGGCAAAAGGCCTCCTTTACCTCGCGTACTTGGTGGAGAGGAAGCTTTTCCTCACTCCTGGCCTTGGCAAGCCATGATCGAAGTGAAAAATCGTAAAGATGCGAAATGGCAGCACAAATGTGGAGGTTCCCTAATCCACTCGGAGTGGATCGTAACAGCAGCTCACTGTTTGGCGTTCTCACCAGATCCAAGGATATATAGAATAGTTCTAGGTTTGTATATCAAAAATACGGTAGAGATAATAATAATAATAATAATAATAATAATAATAATAATAATAATAATAACAATAAACCACTCAAAAACAAAAATATAACAGAGATGAAACTAACAAACAAACCAAAATTGAAAGCAATATTTGTATGTATATATTCCTGGATTTTTCCTTACCGTTTTATTGTTATTATTTTTTTTAATTTGTGGTAAATGCAGTTTTGTTTTCTTCAAACGAAGTGGGCTTCTAGTGGTTGTCATCGACAACCTTTGGCTATGTCTTTTATCTTTATTGGGTTCGTCTCACAGAAAAGGATACACAAGGAAGTGAAGATTTTTCTTTTATTTTGCTTTTTTTGTTGTTGTTGTTTGTCTTTGGTTTTATTTCGTTTGTTTGTTTGTTTGTTTGCTTTTTTCGTCGGGCCGGGGGGGGGG